AAGACTGCAACTCCTCATGTACTTCTCGGCTCTCATCAAATCAGCTTGATTGACTCGATTCCTGTTGCATATGTGTTCCAAAATTTCTATAGCATTTCCTAGAGCCTCCTGTTCCTACTTTCTACTGAATAACTGGATTATCCACCAGATTTATCTCCAAAGAAGCTAAGTTACACATTTTGTAGCTCGCTAATGTGTACATCTTCCTCTCTTCATCACATTGTAACTCACCTCATTAACTCTCTCCGTTTCATAATGTAGAACTTTCTAGCATTGTCCATATTCATATAGATGTTAATGAATCTAGACACACACACATATATCTAGATTCATTAACATCTATATGAATGTGGGCGATGCTAGAAAGTCTTTTAGCATCGCCCACATTCGTATAGATGTTAATGAATCTAGACACATATAAGTATATAGATTCATTAATATCTACATGAATATAAATAGTGCTAGAAAGTCTAACATTGTGAAACGGAGGGAGTAACTTTTATCCTCCTCATAAAACAACCATGGAATGGATGGTTGCAAGCCTTCAACTGCAACTGCAACCACATGGCTGGCAATGGCAAGTTTGCAACAGGGCCAGCTGCTACTTTATCCTCCTTGGTTGACTGGCATGTGGGGCGAATTTCTTAGCTTTCATGAGTCATGACGCCAACCAAATGATCGTTAAACACTGGTGGAGAAACCATCTTTGGTCAGTCAGCCAAAATCCCACAATAGTCCCGGTTGCAATAAAAACCGGAACTAAAGATTATCTTTAGTCCCGGTTCAAAAGGTTAGAGCTACTTTTTTATATTTAGTCCCGGTTGGTATTCTCAACCGGGATTAAAGATCTATTTTGAGTCCCGGTTGGTAACACTAACCGGAAAAAAAGATCCCTATTATCTTTAGTCCTGGTTGGTTTCTAGTCCCGATTGGTAGCCTAAACCGGAATAAAAGATCGGCATGCACGCATGCGTGGCGGAGAGGACGAGGCGTGCGCGAGATCGAGGAGTTAATAAATTCTATTCCTTATCTCTTCCTCCTCACATCTCTTCCTCTTCCTCCTCCTCCTCTCCACATTCTATTCCTCCCCTCTCTTCCGTCAGCGGCCGGACGGCGGTGGCAGTAGGGCGCGTCGGCGGGGCCCTCGCGCAGCGGGGCGGAGGTGGCCTCGCGCCGCGGCAGCCGAGCGGCGGCGGATCCGGAGGGGAGGCGGCCGGCCGCCGCCGGATCTGAAGGGGGAGGTGGTCGGCGCGGAGGCCGGTGCGGCGGCAGGCGGTGGAGCCGGTGCTGCCGTGGATTTTTTTTTTCTTTTTTTCCTTAATGTGCGATTCGATCTGTGTTGATTGATACAATCTGTGTTGAATGCGTGATTTGATTTGTGTTGTTGTTGTGAATGATTTGGGGATGAACTATTGTGTGAATGATTTGGGATGAACTATTGCTGTGAATGATTTGGATGAACTATATTGCTGTGTGCTGTGAATGTTTGATATGAGATAATGCTGTGAATGATTTGCTATGAATATTTGATCTGAGATGATTTGGGCAAATAGCAAAAGAACAGTGAAAAAAAAGAGAAAAGAAAAAAAAAAGAAAAAAACCATCCAACCGGGACCACATCTTTAGTCCCGGGTATTTGAACCGGGACTAAAGATAGCGATCTTTAGTCCCGGGTTGTTACTCCCGGTTGGAAAACCAAGACTATAGGAAGGTTTCCAACCGGGAGTAAAAATCGTTTCTCCACCAGTGAAACTACTAGCTTGAATGTGCAATTTGTAATTTGCATCAAACACACGAGCATTCATGGTCCATAACTTTGGTCTTTGGACCAACCCCACCCCAGAAACTATTACAAACAAATAACAGGCAGGCTTCCATTACTTAGTGCAGTTTACTAGTTCAGGCTTGTTAATTAACATGCGTATATTAGCTTGGTTAGCACTTGACGGTACAGAGATAACCAAGTTGATTCAATTTAGTGACCAAAAGCAATAAATATATATTTGTGTTTTTTAACTTCATGAGAGCATGGAAGTTGTTTTTCCCTTGTTTTGTTTTCTTTACCTTTAAGAGTTTTTTTTTAAAAAAATAAAAAACTTTTTTGGAAGTTCTTCCTTTCGTAGTAACACGGTAGAAAAAGAAATAACTTATACAAGAATTTTTTTTATAATCGAAGAAAACTTCTGACCACTGAAGCAATGCTCTTTAATTGTTGGTGAGTGGTGACATACACAATGCAAACGATCGAAAGACAACCTTGCCACACCACGGCTCACTGAAAATTAGCCCATCGTCTGGCCGTTAAATACCTTTTGACAAAACAAGACAAAAAAAATTGAAGGATGCGAGCACAAGTTGTGCTAAATGCTTGAATGTAACATGAGATCAAGTGCTGTCACTAAGTGACCAGAACAGCTTGGCCTGCCACACGTCTGAACTTTCCCGGAGTAAGAATCAGTCTTGAACTGACCATGACAAATATGTTACCCAGCTTTGTTGGAAGGTTTTGCTCTGTAGCACTTTCTGATGCTTCCTATCCCCACTATCTCTATCTACATAGTTTCATCAAAACGAAAAAAATAATGACAGGTTTTCATCGGCATTGTCGATCTATGAGCTCTTCTCTTTTCTCCCTTAAGCCACCTCCCATGGTCTAAGCTGGGTCACTCCCTGTCTCTTTTCGCGAATGCGTAAAAAAATGGCCCGTTAATATATTAGAAGAAAAGAGTTTTTGATACATAACGCAATGACTAGAAGACCATTATTGCCAGGGGACAAGGAAAAAACTGAGAAAGGTTAAAAAACTATGAAAGAAACTTAAAGCTGCGACTCCTATATAGCGGGAGAAGGGCGGTGGAGGAAACCCGCTATGCTCTCAATAGGCCTCCAAAAGAAGCGGCACCAGCCAAAGACCAGAGATGGCCCTCCTGAACGATGAACTCTAAAACCACCGAAACTGGTAAGAGAGAGGAGCTGAAAATCCTGGAGTTCTGCTCTTTCCACAGCTGTCAGGAAACCAAGAGAACTAGAGAGTCAAAACCCCTACGAAGATGCTCACGCAGGCAGGTCCTACCAGACAGCCACTAGTCTTGGAGAGAGTAGCCACGAGAAGGAGCGAGACCTAGCCAATAAGAGGGGGACATGATATGATGCTAGACCTAGCGTGCGAACACACAGTAGAGGAGGATATGGTTCATCGTTTCAAGCTCCTGGGCGCAAAAAGGACAAACCGAGTGGCTGTCGATGCCGCGCTTTTTCAGTAGATCAGTTGTCTAACAACGCTGCTGGAACACAAGCCAGAGAAATAGATTGCACTTGACAGGGCCTTTAGCCTGCCATAGCAGATCGGCGCAAGTAAAGGAGTGCTAGCCTAGGAAGAAAGCCCGGTAAGCTGAGCTAGCTGAGTAGAGCTGGTCGCCTGTCGAATGCCGGACAAGACGGTCCTCTGTGCCCGAAGAGAGCTGGACGGAACAGTCACTCCATGTCAGATCCCTTAGGCTTGAGTGTGAGGTTCTACTTGGCTAGGTCCAGAACGAGTTCTAAGTTTCGTTGAAGGTGCAAAGCCCTCTCCTCAATTTGATGTCCTGATTCTGCTGACAGATTTCCTAGTGCTTCCTATTCCTACTCTTCCTACACCGTGTGTTCGTGCTAATGGACTGTCCATCAGCATGCCTCTAAAGAAGTTTCAGATGTGTTGCTCTCTTCACTTCCTTCGTTCACCTCGGGTGAGTCTGTTGCTATATAATGATCTTGAAGCATCAGTTTGTCAGGATAACCATCAAGAGGCTGCAAGTTTGCAACAGGGACAATATAATTGCGTATCATGCTGCAGAAGTCACAAGTAGTGTATTCTGATGGTGGCGCGCTGTTCTGGTGAACTGCTATATTCTGTTCTCCTTGACTGCCCGATATATGGCCTGAATTTCTAGAGCATTCATAACACAAACAAGATGATTGTTGAGCTACTTTGCTGCTGCAATTTGAAATCAATGCCAACTTATTTGATCAAACTAATACACTTAAAAACAAACATATATGTGCTCATGGAATCACATTTGAACCGTTTGTTTGATTGACAGAAGCGGCATCTGAGACCACGGTAGCTTCGCAGTCTCTAGTAGTGAGATGTGGCAAAAATCTCATTTCAGTACATTTCCCGATGCCTGTGCTTAGGACTTCGACCATCCTGAAAATTTTAAGGGTGATTTTAGGGTCGTTGAGGATATATTATGAGCTACAACATTTATTAGCGTAAAATTTACTATTAATATCTCTTTGGATTAATAGCAAAATAAGAATTGGGAATTGTAGCAAAATGAACTTGTTGCGACTGTTAAGTGTAGTAGTATGTCCTCCGATGGATACGAATGTATACTCAATATATATGCCATTTAGGGTCAAATTAATATACAGTAAAAATCTCCAAATCCATCTCCTATATTGACAACAAACGTCTACTTCTGGCTGGACTCAGGTATGCCACTATCTATCGACCGAACCAAGTCCAAATGTAATTCCATTTCCTATTTTTTCATCATTTCTTGTATTGTGCGGCATTGGGAATATGCTGCGTTTGTTTTCATCATTTCTTGTATTGTGCTTTGGGAATATGCTGGAGGGCTCATTTGAATGCTGTAAGTTGACTGGTATGGATCCTGAATAGCATTGACACCACATCAAACAAACCACATCTTTCTTCCTATTTAAGAATAGTTAGTTGTAAATTAAATAATACCCGTGTCAAGTGTAGGACTTGATTCCGGGTGGACTGGTTCCGCCATCAGGAACTTAACCAATTGAGCTACGCTCACTTTGCAAACACAACTATATTTATATATACTTTTTTTATTTATTAGTACATACTGTGTTTTAAGTCAGTAGCAGTATATACCTTTTTTTTTAAGTACATACTGTTTTTAATGTTAGTAGCCGTACATACTATATTTTTAAAGTTAGTAGCGGTATATTTATTTTTTTACTCCAGTACACACCAGCACAAACTATACTGGGCTCCGTGGATGTATGATGATCCAAAAGTGTCAGTATCAGTATTTGTTCTCAAAGATTCAAAAAAGCGAAATGTATTTCCAAATTAAAAAGAACAAGTGAAGCTGATTACAAAGACAAAGTACAGTCCATACTCCACTGTAACACAGATCTGATTTTTTAGTAATATATACCCGATTCTGCCAAATCACAATCTCTAAACAAAAACTTTTTCCCAATGCATATATGGGCTGGTGTCGCTGGGTTGAGTTAAGGTCGTTAATGTGTTCTGCCGCCGGGTGGCTGCCGTCTGCAAGAAAGAAATCAGGACCTTAATCATTCAATGAACAGAAGAATAAATTAGGTTGACATTGAAAAGAATGCAATCCAAACCACCAAAATCACGGGGGAAAAATTCTACGCATCCAGAAAAATGAAATCTCCTCCAAAAACAGAAAAATGAAAGGGATCCTCGATATGAACGAAAATGCAAGGAAAATACGAACACCATGACGACATCAATCACCTGGTGCTGGTGTACATCGTGCCGTCACGCTGTTCTCCATGGGGTTCTTCCGTCGGCCTGCAGCCCTGCACTGCTAGCTCTCCATGGTACGTGTACATGGTTCTAGCTCGCATCGGCATGACTGCGAAAACAGAATGGAAGATGAAGATGGATTACTGAACTTTAGCATCATTTCATTCGTCGGACATTAGGATACAGATCTACACATCAAACACACTAACCACAGAAGCCATGATCAGGGATTTGAGATCAGGAGTTCGGCGCCGCTGTTTTTATGGATGAGCCACTGCACAGGAGTACGCCGGTGATTACGAAGGGGCACGCATGCCGTGAAACCTGGAGGAAGAGCCGGGCTGGCGGCGGCGCCGTCTCTGCTATTTCGATGGATGGGGTTGGATCTGCCTGCGCATCGCTTAGAAAGACGGGTTGTGCTAGCCGCCATCGATGTTGGATCGACATCGTCGTCCGGGGATCGCCACTGCCACCGCCGGCTCATCACCTGGATGAATGCATATACCCGGTGTTAAATCCCAGATTAAACGGTTTGACTAGCCCGAATATACCGTGATCAGTTTTTAATCGCAATTTTTTTAACACGAAAAACTAAAACGGGTTTGCCTGCTAAACCCGGTAGCACACATGAGATTGGGATGGATTAATCAACGGTGGATGGGAGAGGGAGTACATACTCCCTAGGAGTATAGAACCATTTTCATATATATAGATACACACATATAAAAAGGAGGAGTTGTACCCCTCCAATCCTACAGGCCAAATCATCCGGATCAATCCCTACCGTCCATCGCTATCATCCAACGGCTCAAAACGCCCAGGACTGGCTATGCGTAGCGCCCGCGGACGCGTTGACCCCACCGTGACGCCACCCAATCGCTGCATCCCCATCCGTCGTCGGCTTTGCTGCAGGTCATCGTGTTGCCACCGTTGCTATTCCACTTCCATGGTCGCCGCTGCCGCCGCATCGCGAGGGGACTCCCTTGGTGATGCCCCGATGCAATGGAGGGCATGGGTGCCGCCGCCACCGCCACCGCCGCCCACAGTTGATGCATCCGCCGCATCCCCTCTGCCTGCTCTCACGCCCTCTGTAGCTCAGCCACCGGTCGTACATCGATCCCCTCCGAACCCACGCCAGGCTCTCCCTGCCATTGTCGGGATCTCCCACTATGCCGCCCCGCCGCCCCGGTTAGCCGAACCCCTCTGCACCAGCCATTGCGGACGACGCAAGCGCTAGCCAGACCTGATGTGGCTAGGGACCACCCATTACATAGGTTATACCTGGCATTCAAGTATAAGTGTTCTTGGGATTTCATATTTCATTGTTCGATCAGATCAATAGAAGTTTGATAAAATAAATAAAATCTGCCAAGAGTACTCATCTACATACTAATATAAATTTTCAATCAGGTTTTCTGGATTTTGATCAACTTGCAATCACTTTGTAGTGTATAAACTCTATGTACGCCATCTCTATATTTGAACAGTGGCACCTATGATTCGGTCTTGTAATGATTACTTTATTATTGATATACATATATATATGTGAAGTATTTCTGCAATGCTGAAGTAACATTGTTAAGATAATCAATATTAGACCAGGGTTCAAAATTCCGGAACAAAATTTCCAAAATTTTGGAAGTTTTGGTCCTATCGCAACACCCCCCCCTCCTCGATATGATATTATTTCGGCCAAAATTTTAATTTTTTTTCATTCTTTTTGTGAATTTGGCAATATTTTGTTCAAATTTGTCCAAATCTTGTTCAAAATTTCCGAATTTTCGGTATATCGACACCCTCCGATATAAACGCCGAAAAAGAAATATTGAACCCTGTATTAGACTACATTAATTAGCATCCTGGGTTATCTAAAGAATGACTTCGATTTCTGACACCCTTTCTTTTAAGTGGTAATAACATTGCTGAAGAGACCCAGGTACATCTGCTTAAGTTGGGTTCATTGATCTGGGTACATCTGCCTAAGTTGGACTGAGCAGTGCCTTATAAAAGGAAACTTACCATTGCCATCATTATGGTGAATGTCATCTGATGCATAGTATGCTATGCCATCTATTCCATTTCCCGTAGTTTACACACACCATTGGCATGGGGATCTAACTCTCCATATGTGCCAAGACAAGGTACTGTACTGCTCCTACTATATCTTTGATACATATTGACTCTTTTCTCAGGCTTTCTTGATCTGTTGATTGCTAATTGAAGCTTTATTATGGTGATGTGGTGTTGCCTGTCAACACTATAGTAAATTTGTGGTTTGGATCTACATTTTAGTGATTTCAACATGCATATTAACTTATAAAAAAGATTGGGTGTTTAACATAAGGAATTTAATAATTGGTGAAATCACTGGTAATTTTGTGTCCTCTGTATTTTGTTTACATGTCAGGATTTTGCCAATTCCGAACCCTTTGCTAGGTTCTTAGATGAGGACTAAACCATGTTTTTAGAAACACTCAACATTGTTCTAACTGCATATAATGCTACACTTTTCGTGCAGTTTAAAAACAACAGAGCAATCATTATTCATGCATTTCTGAAACAACATGGCAGTACAGGTCGTGCCGGTTGACAATCATTGGATAGATGATGTTTGGCATGACCTATCAATGGGGTTCTTAACGGAATATTTTGGGATTTGACGCTGCTTGCTGGAAGGGGTGACACTGTCACTCACCAAAGGAACTCATGGCGAAGGTCAGAATTAGGCATCTACATGGCAAAGCCAGCATACATGGCAATTTGATTTTAAGGTATTGATCAGATTAGATTTGATGCAACCTGTTTGGAAGTCAGGCCCCTTCGACTTTGAGGTGCAAATTAATCTTTTGCTTGTCTCCTAGCTTAGAATCGCCTATGGATTGTTGTTGTTTATAACTTAGAGGTTGGCCAAACAATTAGTTTTGTCCCCTATGCATCGAACCTCGAGACATCTCATCACTTGTTCATGAAGAGTAGATTAGTTAAAGCCATCCGGGCAGGAATAAGCCTGTGCTTGACTGAAGTTTCTTCAGCAAGCCCTCCTTCGGCCTGTTCAGTATTGGAATGGTGGTGCCACAAGATTTCATCAGAAAAGATGCAACGCAAAGGGCTCAGGACCCTCTTCTTGCTGTGGTCTGCTGGCCACTGCCGGGAATTTGGATGGAGCGAAACAATAGAAACTTCAAGAAAGAGGGATGGTCAATTCAGCACATTGTCGACAAATTCTTTTTTTACGAGATCAATCAGTGAAGCAGCTGCAGAGCAAAAAGGCTGGTACAGTTCTCTCGAAGAGAGAGAGCCGTTTTTTGTTAGTTTGTATAGCCTCTGGCTTCGGTTCTATTTTGTTCGCTCCTATCAAAATATGCACAAAATAGGCAGTCATGCCCATGTTTACAAGTACCGATAATGTTGGTTACTATATTTTTTTACAGTTACATAGGAGATATATTTTATAAATTTTGGTTGAATAAATTGTTTTTGGTAGATATAGTTTCCAAACATTCAATGTACTCCTATGATATATTTTATGAAAAACGTGCATTGCACGTGCACGATTACTAGTATATATACTTAAGTGTGAGAGGAAATGGTTGAGCAGAATCACAATTCACAGAAGGAAAAACAGCCTAACTGAAGGGTGAAAAGAGGAGACCTCATACTTGCACGATACTGATGAAATCCTCCCATCATTTTTTTCTTGTGAAACCATGTAGACATGGTAGGGCTAGGAAGCATCAGGAAATACAACAGAGCAAAACCTGCCAGCAAAGCTTGGTACAGTTTCAATCCTGGTCCGATGAAGACTGATTCTTCTTCCGGTAAACATCATCCATGTGGCTGATTAAGATGTTCTGGTCACTTAGTGACAGCTCTGTCTTATCGCATGCAAGCACTTAGCACAGCATGGATCAAAGTATCTGCAAGCTTTGATTTTCTCTCGTTTCATGAAAAGGTATTGACAACTAGCCGGTGGCTAAAATTGATAAGGCTTGTGGTGAGTTTTTCTTTCAACTGTGCAATTGCATTGACAATGTTATGAATAATGAAAGGCATTAATTCAGTACACATCTATGAAAAAATGTTTTATGGGTATAAACATAAAAATATAGAAAAACAATAAAAATGCAGAAAGAAAAACAAGTTTCCAAAAGAACCACACTGCCCCAATAGCTCTTTAAAAATGGCAACAGCACTTGCCCATGTCCTCCTCCTTGATTAAGCCAGCATTCATTGGCAAGATTGCATCCTAAGTACCAGCCTATCTGTCGATTAGAAAAAGGGTTAGCGCATGAGACCTAAAAGTGGATGGACAAAGATTTAAATAGGTTCAGACCCTCTCGATAAGAGGTAATACCCTACTTCTGTTTGGGGATTGTATCCGCCGGATGTATATTGATCTGATTATCTGACAGTGCTATATCCTTGGAGGGCTCCCTGCCCACCTTATATAGGTTGGAGGGGAGCAAGGTTACAAAGAGGAAAACCTAGCCAGACATGGTATTAGTTTCCTAATCTATTACATGGTAGTACTCAATCGGGACTCTAGGTCCTGCCATAGAACATAAGGCAACATTGCGAAAAAGTCCTACTCTATTACATTACAGATGGATTCGATCCACTTCCTATCTCTAGTTGGATATTTAGGCTGTGTGGGTCCCCGGTACTCATATTCTTCGTAATAGCCCCTGAGACCTTCACGGTCAAGTTGCAGTCTTCTCCGTGGTTCATGACCAATTCTGAGTATTTCAATCTTCCCTGTGAAGGCTTCCCAAGTGCTTGATGTGGAAGGCCTAGGCTGAATGACACATAGATGCACTTTGAACGCCCTTTAGCTTGCCTCACGGGCCACCTCATACTGTAGGTCCAGATTGACTTCTAAGTTTCGTTGAAGGTGCACAACCCTCTCCTCCAGTTGATGTCCTAATTCTGCTGACAGATTTTCTAGTGCTTCCTATTCCTATTCTTTCTACACCATGCGTCCGTGCTAATGGACTGTCCATCAGGCATGCCACCAAAGAAGTTTCAGATGTGTATCTCTTGCTCTCTTCACTTCCTTCGTTCATCTCAGATGAGTCTGTTGCTATATAATGATCTTGAAGCATCTGTCTTTCATGATAACCATCAATATGCTGCAAATCTGCAACAGGGACAACTATTGTAACATGTTGCAGAAGTCCAGTGTATTTTGATGGTGGTACGCTATTATGGTGAACTGCTATATTCTGGCCCCATTTGATAGGGCTCCAAACTACCACTTCGTTGGGAGCTGGCTCCTGTGGAAGTTAGAGACCAACTGAAAAGTGTTTGGCTAGATTTAAGCTCTAGGTCTGAAATTAAAAAAAAATGGAAAAAAATGCAATCCCCAATCTCTCGTGAAGCCCTAGGCAGGTTGTTCATCCCTGCAAGCGCCGCTCGTCCCCGTCAGAGTGCCGCCATCGGCCCCACCACATGTGCACCTGCCTATGGGCGAGCTGAGGGTTACGGAAGGGAGGGAGAGAGATGTGAGGAGGTGAGTTTGGGGTAGTTAAAAAAATATGTATAAATATGTTAAAAAAATATGTGTAAATATGTTAAAAAAATGAGTTTGAGGTGAGTTTGGCTTTTTTTTAAATATGTTAAAAAAATTAAAGGGTGGTGGGTCTTTTAGGTTGGAGTGGAGCTATGGAGCAGAAAAAAAAACCCAGCTCCACCCTTTGTTCTCTTTGACTGCCCGATATACAGCTTGAATTTCTAGAGCATTCATAACACAAACAAGATGATCATTGAACTACTTTGGTGCAATTTGAAGTCAATGCCAACTTATTTGATCAAACTAACACATTTATAAACAAACACGTGTGTTCATGGAATCACATTTGAACAGTTTGTTTGATCGACAAAAGCGGCATTTGAGACATGTGCCTAGCCTCAAGTAGATGTGGCAAAACTCTCATTTCACTATATTTCCCAATGCCTATGCTTAGGACTTAGACCATCCTGAAAATTTTAAGGGCGATTTTAGGGTCGTTGAGGAATGAGGATATATTAAGAGCTATAACATTTATTAGCGTAAAATTTGCTATTAATATCTCTTTAGAGTCTGAAGTAAGGAAAAAGACTAAATTTTACATAATTGTAAAAGAATAAAGTTACATGAAAATTTTACGGATATTCATATTAAGCTAAATGACAACAGCCAACAACGTTCCAAGCTGCCACTACTACAATACCCTATTTTTCCGGTCGGTCGTATTTATTATCCCGTGCGGTCACTCGGCCCGCCTGCAGCTCCTCATATGGGAAAATCGGTATTTTCACGTGCGGGCGGGCTGACCGCACGGGATAATCGATTATTCCATGCGGTCGACTTAACGTAACCGCACGAAAAAATCGATTATCCCGTGCGATCGTATTAAGTCGACCGCACATGATAATAGGTTATCCTGTGCGGTTCAGTTACACCACCCGCACGGGAAAAAAGCAAAAAAAAAATGAAATCGAAACAATCCCGTCGTCGTCGCTGTGGTAATCGAGACCAACCCTGGCAGTGCCATGTGTGGAACAGCAACAGGCTTAACACAAGAACGATGATGGATGGGTCAGCGGATGCAGCAGCAAATCGGCATAATTAATGGTCCCTTCGTTTTCGCAAATTACAACGGAAAATTCTAAAAAAACTGAAATTATAGATAGAAATCACGTGGTTCACTGATCATTGGACAGTGGGCGATGGCACTGGCCTTGTTCATGCCATTGAAGCTCTCACTGACACTATCCATGGTCATCGTCGCCGTGGTTGCGCAGTCGCCGTCGTCGCGCCGCTGCTCCCGTCGTCGTCGCCGTCGACGCGCAGCCGCCGCTCGTCGTCGCCGTCGCCAGCAGCCGCGTCGCCGCAGCCGCCGCTCCGCCTCCGCCAGCATTCGTCGTCGTCACGCCGCCGCTCCCGTCGTCGTTGCCGTCGTCGCGCCGCCGCTCCCGTCGTCGCGCAGCCGCTGCTCATCGTCGCCTCCGGCCTATGCTGAGCGCAGCAAGCATAGCTCCGGCGAGCCTGCTGAGCGCAGCAAGCCGGCCGGCGATGTCACCTCCGGCGGGGGCACCCTCCTGCCTCGCCACGCGCAGCTCGGCGAGCCTGTCCGCGAGGCCGTCACCGTGGAGATGGCGCCGGAGACGGCGGCGCAGGCGGCCTCGTCAAGGAAGCAGAGCGCGAACTCGTCGCCGCACTCCGGCACCGCCCAGGAGAGCGTCTCGCCGTCCATCCTCTCGAAGGCGTCGCCGAGAAGGGAAGGGGAGGGGAGGAAAGAGGAAAGAGGCAGATGTTTACAAAGAGAGAGGAAAGAGGCGTGTGGCAGTGAGAATAAAAAGGAAAAAGGAAGAGAGAGAGGGTGTGAAAAATTTAAAGTGGACGGGAGGAAAAAAGGGGAAAGAGAGTGTGAAAAATTTGAAATGGGTAGGAGGGAAATGAATGAGGTATTTTCCTGTACAGTCCACTTAAAAAACCTGTACGAGATAATCGATTATCTCGTGCGGTCCGCATAACACAACCGCATGGGATAATAGAAATTATCCCGTGCCGTTGTCTTAAGTGGACCGCACGGGATAATCGATTATCCCGTGCGGCCCACAGCCCGGTACCGGCATTTGTCTAGTTCCAGGCGGAGCCACTTTTTTGACCCGCCTGTAACCAAAATGGGCCAGCGTCCATAAAAATCACCTCTATAGTAGTGTGCTCTAAATACAGAAATACAGGATTCATCACTAAGGGTGATCCCTCCTAGGTCTCAACGGCCAGCTCAGGAATCATACCAGATTGCCAATCCGTTGAAGGTGAGCAGCACTATCCTCAAACGGTATTCATCCAGTTGCAGTCACATTTCAGATTGTCTTCATCCAGTTGCTGTCACATTTCCTAGTGCCTCCTGTTCCTACACAATGTGAATCGTGCGAATAGACTATAATCAAGTTTGCCTCCAATGTAGGTTCAGAATAAAAAGTTGCATACATGTGTATATCTTCCTCTCACTCCATTTTTTTTTCATTCACCTGATCAGTTCGAGTCTGTTGGTTGTTGCTTATATAATAGTCTAGATACTCGAAGCGTCTGTGTTCTTTTTCTAGATACTCGAACTGGTTGATCTATGAAACTGCTTCAAGTTAGTGGCAAAAATAAGTTCGATCTTTCCGCTATTCTGAGAGCATCTTTTTATCTTTTCAGAAATCAGAATGGCATTATAACTTTTAAGAATTCCTGCTTGTTTATAAGATCCGAGGCTATATATCCATCAAATCTTCAGAATTAACATCTAGAAATTCCAGATCTTCTTCAAGTAAGCTCCATATCTACGTACAACTGATCCTCGAACTAATTAACACTTCTGCATCGCCATACGTTCAGAATTAGTAGGAATTAAGAACCGCCGGCAGCGGCAGAGCATTGCAAGTTTGCAACTTGCAAGCGAAGCGACAGAGGGAACCCATTCGATTCGGAGGCAGCGACGAGGAGGAAACATGCATATGAGCGCTGAACTAGCTTGAATTTGCAATCTTTGTCCATTCTTTTGATCGAACTAAATGTTAAATATGTGATCCGAGTTTTTGTGCATATATTTTCATAACGCTAAATTACAGCACCTTGCCAATTTGGGATACACGTTTATCTTCTTGCAGTTTCAGTATTCTTCAACTTCATAATTATTGCTTGTTTCCAAGATTTGAAAATCCGATGCTATCATCAAACTTTTGAACCGTTTTAGCCATTTCTTGTTTCAGGGATGTAACAAAATTCAGATCATATTCAGAGTGTCGAATGCATACTATAATTCTTGAGCTAACGCCTCTGTAAAATCACCAATTTCTACATCCGTGTGCAAGTTAGTGAGAAATCACCACTAAATTAACCACAGTGTTGGCGTAACCTTGCGATACAATTACACAAAAGCTATATGAGCTGCCACATACAGCAAGCCAGGCTCGATCACGATATCAAGTTCGAGATGACCCAAGATTGATCCCGCTTGGGCATACCAGCATACCTTTTCGCCCACACTCGCCATTGCATTCAACTTATCCCCCCTCAGTTACCTTAATCTGGACTTCAAAAATTCATCCAACTATCCTCTTGGGCCACTTAAGCCACTATAGGTTGATAGCGACAATGTCTCCTGGTTCTCGGTTGGTACTTGAAGGAGTGCTCCCCTATCATCTACCTGGATTTCTCCTGTTACTGTATCATTTCCTGCTGCATCCTATTCCTATTGAATAACTGGATTGTCTACCGGGTTTATCTCCCAAGAAGCTAAGTTACGCACACACATTTGTGTGGATGAATGTTGGACTGGTGCGTACATTTTCCTCTCTTTAGTCCACTTCCCTGGCTTCACATGAGCTCTTATATAATAAGGGAAATTTTACGGTACTTGAGAAAATACATGTATGTACCAAAATTTTACACTAAAAATTTTGGTACCTCGTGATACCTACTATCTGAGAGTACCAAATTTTACACTATAAAATGTGATACCTACCGGTTCCTTTTTAAGGATGGTAAAATTATCCATATAATAACTTAGAGTCTGTTTTTTATCTTCCTACTCTTAAAACAAACATGAAAATGGATGCTTGCAAGACTAAAATTGTAACTGCAAGCACATGGCTGGCAATGGCAAGTTTGTAACATGGGTTGTGTTTAGTTCCACACCAAAATTCGAAATTTGAAGAAATTGGAACAATGTGACGAAAAAGTTGAAAGTTTATATATTTGTAGGAAAGTTCGATGTGACGGAAAAGTTGGAAGTTTAAATAAAAAAAGTTAAAATCTAAACAGGGTTATGGTAAGTTGCTACTAATCTTACCAGCTAGCATCAAAAGTAAGTACGCTAGCCGGTCCAGGCACAAGACTCACCCACCCCTCCTTAATACCATCGATATGAAAGTCCTTTTCATACTCAGTTTTTTTTACTTCATCATTTTTTTAATTACACGGTAGACGCATACGTACAGACACCACTACACTCGAAACACCACACTCACACCTCCACGCTAACACATGTCTAAGAGATGGAAACCAGCGGCATATCTCTGATCTTACTAAAATCCTGTTAAAAGCTCACTTGTATATACATGATATTAGTGGGCACCACCTCGACTGTTGAGCTTCTAGCTTAAACGTGAAATTTGCAACTTTTGTTGAACAAACACACGCTTATTCATGGTTCCTAACTTTGGACCAACCTCATTCTAGAAATCATTATACCAGCAAATAACATGCCGGCTTCCATTACTCAGTGTAGTAAACTAGTTCAGGCTTGTTACACTGGTGGAGAAACCATCTTTGGTCGGTCGGCCGAAATCCACAATACTCCCGGTTCCACTAAAAACCGGGACTAAAGATGATCTTTAGTCCCAGTTCAAAAGGTTAGAGCTATTTTTTGATCTTTAGTCCTGGTTGGTAACATCAACCGGGACTAAAGATCATTTTTAGTCCCGGTTTAAAAGACGGCAGGTGGTGTCAGACCCCTCCTTTATCTTTAGGCACTGTTGGTGACACCAACCGGGACTAAAGATCTATTTTTAAGTCCTGGTTGGTGTTACCAACCGGGAAAAAAGATCGACATGCGCCATGCGAGATCGAGAGGACCGAAGCACAAGGGAGGATCAGTTAATAAGTTCTGACCTTTATCTCATCCTCTCCTCACTCACCCCATCTCTTCCTCTTCCTCTTCCTCCTCCCATCTCTTCCTCTATCTCCTCTGGATCCGCCTCCTCCCCTCTCCTCTTCACTTCTCAATCTCCTTTGGATCTGCCCCCTCCTGTCTCCTCCCTACTTCTCAGGCGGCGGCGGCCGGGCGGCCACGGAGGCGGCCTCGCGCGGCCGGGAAGCGCGGAGGCGCCCTCACGCGGCGGCCGGGCGGCGACGGAGGTGGCCTCGCGCGCCCTCACGCGGTGGCCGGGCGGCGAGGCACAGCGCGCGGCGGCGGTGGGGCAGCGCGCGGCGCGGACTGCGGGGCCGCGCACGGAGCGGCACCACGCCGGCTCTCCTTTCTTTTTTTTTTATAATTTGTGATTGAGAGATGTATAGTTTCTTTTTTAGAATTTGTGATTCATTGCATGGATCTGAAATGTATAATCGATCTGTGATGCATTTGATTTGTGTGTATTTTTTTTTAAGATTTGTGATGTATTTGATTTGAGTGTAAGTAACTTAGGATTTGTATTTGTGATGTGAATGATTTGTGGTGTTACTTTGAATTTGAGGATTTGGGGTTTGATTTAGGTATATGCATGACACTCAATTTGGGGATTTGTTGGTTGATCTGGGTATATATATCCCACTTAATTTGGGAGAAAATAAAAAGGAAATGGACCAACCGGGACTGCCCCTATCCTCTCTTTAGTGCCAGTTGGTAGCATTAACCGGGACTAAAGATCGATCTCCCTCTCTTTAGTGACTAAAGATCGATCTTTAGTCCCGGTTAGAAAACCGGGACTACAGGGGGTTATAAACCGGGAGTAAAGATAGTTTCTCCACTAGTGTTAGTTATCTTGGTTAGATAACCAAGCCGATGTAAATGACCTGTTTGAGTGAACTTAAGATTCTAAAAATCTACTAGTTGAAAGCCAGGTTCTGAGAATTTGAAGAAGTTGGGTTTTCCAGCTTCTAGCTTCTAGATTATTTTTTGGATTCTACAACTATATATTCTCAAAATCTGGGTAACAATATAATCTGTTTAGGGGGAGCTGGAGATTTTGTGAGAAGCGTTGCTAGAACCTCCTCTAAACAGACCCAAAATCTCCCGAACACATGTTTCGAATGGGTTGGGCCTAAAAAAGATTCTTACAGAGATGGCCCAAGCCTTTTAGTAGCCCACAAGGCGATTCTTTCTCTCTCTTTCAGATTCGTTGTCTCACTGACAAGTGGGCCCACTAAGTACTTTCAAATAAAGGAAACCCTCCCTTGTTTCTCCGAGGAAAAAAGCTAAGGGGAGCTGGACTGTTTGAAAGTTTGAATCTTTCGGCTCCTCATCTCACACTCCGTACACCCAGTCCATACACCCATAGTATCCACCACCAACGCATTAGCCCTCATGGTCCATACACCATGTCCACGTAAAAAAATCGCTCTTTGCCATCCAAAGGTTCGATTTTTATCTCCTTCCTTCCATCTCTCTGCTCACTTCACTTCACCTTCCAATGATCGAAGCGGAAAGCCAAATGGCGGAGGCGGCATCGTACGAGGAGCAGCGGAGGCGGCAGGTGGAGGCGAACAAGCGGAAGCTGGAGGAGCTCCGCCTCCACCACCTCTCCGCCGCCGTCCGCGAATCCGCCTCCAAGCCGTCGCCGGTCAGATTCCCCTCACCATTTCTTTTCTTTTTGGATTTCCCCTGGTTTTTCTCGGTCTTTGATTCTCTCTGGTTGTTTTGTTTGTGGGTCTCTTCCTGATCTGGGCGGTTGCCGGTGGGTGCAGGTGAAGCAGCGGAAGAGGAAGGCGCGTGCGCTGCCGGGCGCCGGCGAGGATGCCCCGCTCCGGCGGTCCGGCCGCGTCGCCAACCTCCCCGAGAAGCCCAAGTACCGCGACGTATGTGGAGACAGTGTGATTGATGTGATAGTTTTTAAAAGATTTCGTTTCTTCTGTTGGTTTTATTGAGGAATTAACTCGTTCAAGATTGCAATCTTTGATGGGTTTATGTGCAGGAGTTCCAAGATTTCGAGAAGAGGATAAGGAGGTATAGTGAATGCGTGCCCCTAATCTCCCAATCGAAATTTCTGCATCCAGTGTGGATTATCAGGGATGGTTTTCTGAGATTCTTGAACTGTTTGTTCATCAGGTCTTATGGCGGCAAGAGGAGGGATTTGTCCAATCGAGTTTACGCGACCGACGAGCAAAGGGACTACGCCATCAACGCTGCTCAAGAGCTGGAAGAGGAGCTCGGCTCCGACTACCCAATCTTCGTCAAGCCCATGCTTCAGTCCCATGTCACTGGAGGGTTCTGGCTGGTAAGCCTGTAACTTCACTCTCATCTTGCTTTGCATCATGTAGGTTGTAGGGATGAGGCAGCTGATTCTTGGGGTGAATGAAATTGGTAGAGCCTGCCGACGCATTTCAGCCGGAAGTATCTGCCGAAGCGCGACGAGACTATCCGTTTGGTGGATGAGGAGGATGATGAGTTTGACACCCTCTATCTTGCCAACAAGAGGGGGCTCAGTGGAGGGTGGAGGGGGTTTTCCATTGCTCATAAGCTAGTTGATGGAGATTGTTTGGTGTTCCAACTTATCCAGCGCACGAAGTTCAAGGTGAGTTTGGAGTTGTTCGGGCACGGCACGAATGTTATATGAAGATCTCCTGAATCTTTGCACGGTTGATGATAATTCTGGTTGATTTGTAGTAGCCGACTAATCATGTGTTAGGTTTATTGATGTCTTAAATCAGAAAAACAGTTCATCACCAGTTCACCATAAATAACTGGAATGAATGTGTCATTGACTCATGGTATCCCAATTTTCAAGCATTCATTGTTTGCACATGTTATTGCTATAATTTGTTGAGCCTAGCCAGGTAATGTATGTGTCTAAATATAGGAAAATATTGTGCAGGAAACGTTGGTTCTTATAAGGCCTAACCAGGAGAAATCTACATTAGTGCTAACGATGTTTTGTCTTGTATCAAAATGGTGCAGGTCTACATAATCAGAGCAAGTTCCTACTATGAAACTGACGACTGATGTAGAGGCTCCAAATATCTGTGATTGGGGCACAGGTGTGCTGTTCTTGTTATTTTTGGCATGTGTTGTAGTTGGAATTTGAATCTATCGTTCAAATTGATAGCTCTACTAGACTACTGGTCTTCTGTTGGAGCCTGATAAGACTTTGCCATTTTCACTTCGAAGATGTGAATTACTCCCTTTTTTAGCAATCAGGAGTTCTGCAGTTTTCACTTGGAAGATGTGACATATGCAGTTTTATGCGATGATAGATATGCAATCAGGAGTGCATAACTTTTGCCTATATTTGTTTTAGCAATTACGTGTTATTACGATTATAAAATTTAAATAAATATATGCAATGGTGTATTGTTCTGGAATTACTGTTAATGAAATATGCTAGTAAAATTTATGGCCAAATCAGTTTTTAAAAATCGACCACAAGAATCTTAAAATGAAAAATATATAGATACAGAGTACGTTTAAAACTGTCTAACAAAGCTTCGTCTTTTCTCCCACTGCTCAGCTCTTCTTTTCTTCTAATTTGATTATTATCTATCATACATGATGTAATGATACTGACTTGATTCCTTGTTAATTGGTCACTTTACTTTGCAGGTCTTCTAGTGAATTAGGTTGACCTGAATTGGAGATTGCTAGGCCATCTTCAGTCTTTTGAGTGATGAACAATGTTCAAAATATTAACTACGTATTAGGTTACTTATGGACTAGCCATCCTCAGTCTTTTGATGGCAAACAATGTCAGAAGTATTAAATTGGCATATAATTTACCAGCTAATAGGCTAAGTTGTTAGATTTACTTTGAGCTTGCACAGTTCAGAAATCTGCACTATGTAAGGGATATCATTGCAATTGGTAACTGAGGATGCTTTTTTATACTATTACTCCTTATGTGATGCGTCTGAATTCCTGATTTCAGTCATTTCTTGTAAGTTAGCATGCTTTGTGGACTAGGCTACAAGATTTCATTTACACCAGGGAAGCAATTCATCTTATGTTAACTTGTCTACTTGAGCATGTTGTTGTATGGACATTTTGTGTTCTCTCTCAAGCATCCTTCCTAGTACACAATCCTTCAAGTGTTATGGTCTTTAAACCAATATCACCCAGCTAAGAAATTGAGTAAGCATGCAAACCATGGTTCCTTAGTACTACAAGCTATATTTTGAAGAAGCTTTGGGGAATTGCTATTAATTTTTATTTGTGGCTGATATGACTCTAATTCAAGAGATGCCATAAAGCTGAAGCCTGCACTCATAGTCATTGTTCTACCTTGTAGTACAGTTGTTTGGTATCATTTGTATAAAATATTTTTTTAAACCAATTTTTGTAAATGTTTTAGTTCTATACTAGCTTTGGATAGACTTCAGATCTTATGATGTCATTAGCTAGAGCCAAATAGCACAATAAAGAATCAACGAAGGTCTAGAATTTCCCTAAAGACTATCACTATGTTTCCTAATGCATCCTAGTCCTAGTCCTGCAATGCGGTATGGCTAGAGGTGCCATCAGGTTTATATGGTGTGGTTAAAACTTCAGGTGAAGTTGTGTGCAAAATGTATCTTGATATGCATCTCTCTCCTCTCTTCAGCTCCTATCTCTCAATTAGCCTATTTATGGAATGCTGAAACACATCTCTTCTCTTCCTCAACCCCAAGTTATATATAAAGAAGAGAGGGTAGCAATAGCATCTTGAATTTGATCCGGTATTGCAATCATGTGTTACCATGTGTGTGAAAGCTCTGCACTACACACATGGTAAACAGTTGGTGTACAGGAGGTGCACTAAAGTTCAGGGTAACTGCCTATCTGCATCCTCAAGTTGTGCTGCAAAATTGCTGGGACAAAATGACTGGGAGTGCAATCATTATGCAATTAGTAATTTCTACTATGGAAGGTTTCACTATTTTTTTTTTGTCTATGACAAAATAAAATGACTTAACAATGTTTGACTCCCTCTGCGCCTAAAATACTGTAGTTTTAGCTAGTAAAAGATATATTTAGATAGTCAACATATCTAAATAAGCTCCATCCTTTCTCCCATTTCGCGATTGGCTTTAGAATGCAACATGTGAACCAGCCAACTTGGACACTAAAAGTTTTATAATTGTGAATCATGCATGAAAATGATCTTACCTAAACCGTTCAAGGTATTCTCAATCTCACTTAACCTAAGTTGAATTAAATCTCTTAATGATGGACTTATGTAAAGCCTAGGTAATTAAGTTTAATTACGATGTTTCATGAGCTGGACAGTAATATATTATTAATTCTTGGAATACGGTCAGATAGAGTTGTTCTCTGTAGGAGCAGTTTGTCTTGGATGCTGTATGAAATATTTCTGTCATTACTTGGTCCTACCCATGTATCACAGGCTACCATATTGCAGGAATCAGTAATTCAGTATTTGAATTGCCTACTCCACCTCTCTTATATTTGTTGTAGATGTGCTGGCCGTATAGTCAATATTCATTGACTGATGCTCACCCATCCAATTTTACTGTTCTAGTTTGAGTATTGCGTGCTACGAGTGACATATAACCATGACTCCATGAAGGTACCATAACAGAGGAAATATTTTTATATTACCAGATGCTGCATGTGCATTGTTCTTATTAGTGACTTATTTTCTACTAATTTGAATATTAGTATGTATCATACATGATGAAATGTTAGTGACTCGTTTTCTTGATCAAAAAACTTTGCAGGTTTTCTAGTGAATTAGATCAACCTGAATTGGAGATTGCGAAACCATCTTCAGTCTTTTGGATGATGAACAATGTTCAAAATATTGGCGTTAACATATTATCCACCAGCTATTAGGTCACTTATGTTACTAGCCATCCTCAGTCTTTTTGGACAGCTCACAGGCTCATAGCCGATGCTCTTGACCTCCTCTCTCTTCATTCAAGCACTTCTTTTTCTTTGAGTCAGAAGGCTCCGGAAATTTACAGTAACTGTTTTTTCCATCAGTAATCCAACGGCCCAACTCTCTCCTCTCTATTTTGTCCTTTTCTTCATCCAATAGCCATTGTTCTCACAATGACGTGGCTCATTCTGATTGTATTTTGGGATTCACTTTTCACTAGTGAAAGCTTTTGTGAGTGTTTTAGTTTTGTAGCTTTGGACAGGCTTCAGCCCTTTTGATGTCATTACCTAGAGCCAAACTGCACAATACAGAATCAAGAGGAAGGTCTAGAACTCCTCAAAATCCTGTCACTGTATTTCCTGATGCATCCTAGTCCTAGCCCTGCAATGTTGCCATTAGGTTTATAGTATGTGGTTAAAACTTGTGATTAAGTTGCGTGCAAAATGTATCTTGGTATGCACCTCTCTGTGTCTCTCCTCTGTTCAGCTCCTTCCTCCTCCTCAATTAGCTTATTTATGTTATGCTGAAACATGTATCTTCTCTTCCTCCCCAACCCCAGTTATATATAAAGAAGAGAGGGTACAAATAGCATCTTGAATTTGATCTGGTACTGCAATCATGTGTGATTGTGTGAAAGCTCTGCACTACACACACAGTAAATTAACACTTGTTGTACTGCAACAAGATCTGCACTGAAGTTCAGAGTAACTGACTAAAGCAACCTCAAGTTGTGCTGCGAAATCGTGGGCACAAAATCGTTGAATGTACATTAATTGTTGGGACAAAATGACTGGGAATGCAATATGTAATTAAGTTTTCTACTATGGGAGGTTTCACTAGTTGGTTGGCGGTCTAGCGGGGTAAAATGGCGAAGGGAATAAATGGGGAACACATATTTTCTTTTTCTTTTAGAGCTGTTTTTTAGCCACGGACGTGGCAGGACTTACATGCAAAAGAAAGTTTCCTGAAGGGCCCAAATTAGTTTTGCTAATCAGGGAATCCGAAGGCTTCTAACTTACAAAGCGAAAATCGGATGGTGCATGTTCTATTGATGACGTGACGCAATAGTTTTGTTACTACTAGCTATCCTCAGTAGTCAGTCTTTTGGGTAGCAAAGAATGTCCAAAATATTAATTTGGCAGATTACCTTTTTTAGATAATGGAAATGATTTACATTTGGCAGATTACCTACCAGCTATTAGTTTATTTGTTAGATTTACTTGAACTTGCACAGTTTAGAAACCTGCACTATGTAAGGGGATATCATGGCAATTGGCAGCTGAGGATGTTTTTGTAAATTACTGGTACATGGTGCATAACTGCAATGAATCTTTCTATTCCTTTTCAAGCATATATACCCTCAAGTATGCTGGTTTTTAAACTAATACCCCACCTAAGAAATTGAATCAGCAAATGCAATATTACTATTCTGAATAAGCTTGGTAGAATTGCTACTAATTTTTATTTTAGTGCATGATGAGGACCCTAATTCTAGATATGCCATAACGCTGAAGACTGAACACATGGTCATTGTTCTACTTTGGAGAACATTTGATAATCTTCGATCAACTGATATCACTTCTATAAAATGTTTTTTTTTTGATAATCTTCGATCAACATCCAATCGCGGCAGCGGTGCGCAGTTCAATTCGGAGGCCGCTCCGACGACGATCCCGGCCCCTCCGCGTGCGGCGGAGACTCGCTTGGATCCATACCGGCTAGAGTTTGCTTCTGGAAAATACTGCTGTTGCTGCTACTGAATTATACTGTTGGTGACGAAAAATCCTGGCACTGCTGGTGCTTACTTGTGCAGTTGGTGACGAAAAATTGTAGTGCTTGATGTTTCATGAATTCTGCTGTTGGTGATGATGTATGTAACTAGTGTGTGCCGCAGCGAGACATCATGGCAGAGTAGCAGTTAAGCTCTTGGTATTGTGCCATTTTCGTTGAAGTTCTGCGCGTTTAAAGGTTAATGCCTGCTGCTTTTCAAATGTTACGTGGATCTATTTGTGCCATGAATGAAACAATATGATAGAAATATAAATCATCCATGTTTGAATTTTGTTTCATATAACTCTTGATTGCGCTTTGTTGATGATTTTTTTTTGACGCGAGACTCTACCTTATTACCATTTGATTAATGGTGTGTCAAGAAAGTTACATAAAGAATTTGTTGCTGAATTTAGTTGTCCCAGAAACAGCTTGAGCACAAAAAAATCCTGTAAAGACAACAGAGAGCAGTGTACGCAAGCTGCTAACCCATCTAGCCAGCAGTGCCATCTCCATCAACACAAACACCCCCGGAGAGTGAAAGGCACGGCCCGAGCCATTCATCGTCAGATTCAGATATTCAGTAGATCTACCTTTGACCATTCCAATCGAACACTCATATATTAGTAGCAGTGAAATTTAATAGACATGCATTTGATTCGATCGAAGACGTTTGCAACAATGATCCATCCAACTCAGGTTTTTCATGTGTGCACCGTGGGGCCTTCACAGCCTATGGCGAAAGTATCCCGCTTCACTGAGATGCTAGGCCCTGCTGCGTAGCCTCTGATGGGGGGAGACACATGCGGCAGCGGCGTCCGGCTGCAGGTAGAGAGGAGCGCGCGCACGCCAGCGGCGGTGTCGTGATCATGTACGCTGTTAGGTTTAGTAACTATTAGAAGACGAGTTTACCCTCCGCACATAGTTTTTTTTTTAACAAATTTGCCCACCCACGCTTCTACTACCATAAGATGAGATGGTAGTAGAAATAGATCTGAACCATTCAATCAAATTAGATCAATGGTTCAGATCGTTTTTTACTACGAGTAGAAAGCACCGGAGTGAGGCTCTTTTTTTTTACAGGACAACTTCAATGGATGTTTTTAACTCACTTCTGGTGATGCCATCACCAAGAATTAATAAAAAATTTGCACAACATAAAATTGCATCCAAAGAGCATCGCATCATTATTAACTAGAGATCATTTGAGGAGCCATATCAATCTAGCTGGAAACAAGTGAGGTCTGAGGTGTCTGAGTTGTTCTAG